AAAGATTTCTAGCTTGAAAAATGAAGTGAAATCAGTGGGTTTCTTTTTTCATGTGGCTGCAGTTGGCTGGCACTAATAGCAGCTTCCATATACTCCATATTTTGCCTCAGCCCCTTCAACAACTTGTTTTTTGGTAACTAGTTCACTTCGCTCATTTATGATATAAACACAATCCCTGGGGCATTTGGGTCTCAACCCTTGCTCCGAGGTATTCATGTCAGAAAAATATTCCTACTCTCTTATCTGTCTTTCTCTAGGCCTGTTCCTTCCCCCTCTCCTACTCCTGACTTCCTTTTCCATAACCTTGAACTCCTCATTTTCTTCCTTTCCAGCCCTTTCTTTTCAAGATTTCTGCATTTCCATGCCTTCCTTACCCCTTGTCTTTTTTTCCCCCCTCACCTGCCTCCTTATTTGCTCACTACCCAATCCCACCCAACAAAACAAGTTAAGTCAGATCTGTTTGGAACTCTGATGTCTGGCTGGCCTGAGCTCTAGCTTTACATTGGATTTGTGAAAATTGAAGAAGTGTTTCCATGTTTAGTACTTTGAGAGAGCTAAATGATTGGTGGCTGAGAACTCCATTACTTTCCTGGAAGGGTCCACTTGGGCACAGAGTTTTTGATAAGGTCTAACTTCCTTGCAGCTCCAAATGTATGTGTGTGTGTCTGGCGGTGTAGAGGCTAGTTTGGGGGAGCCCTGTCTGTCCATGTTCTAGATCCTGTCCAACCCTTGTTATTCACAGTGACACCAGGTGAAAGCAGCAAAACTTGGGGCAGGAGCTCAGTCGTCCCAAAGGAGGAAGGGGAGGAGGAGGAGAAGAGGGCCCCAAAGAAGAAGGGGCGGACGTGGGGGCCAGGGACGCTTGGTCAGAAGGAGCTTGCCTCGGGAGATGAAGGGTAAGTGCCAGATGACATGAAATTCTTTCTCACTTGAAGATGGATGCACCATTTAAACATGGGATATGAAATACCTTTTTTTCTCTGTCGTGTGTTTGATTGCTTTCTGAGAAATTGCAAGCTTCTTGATCTTTACAACAGTTTTTCGACCTCCATGTTCCTGGAACCTTCTAGGACAGACATGGAAAACTTTTTCCATAAAGAGCCAGATAATACATATTTTAGTGATTCCTATGGCTCTTGAGCTCCACTGTTGGAACATAGAAGCTGCCAGAGACCATGGACGACATGTAAATGAGCGAACGTGACTGTGTTCCAGTAAAACCTTATAAAAGCAAGTGGCAGGCAGGGTTTAACCCACCAGTTATAGTTTGCCAACCCCTGAAGGCGTTCTTCTCAGAGTAGCAAGTAGCCCAAGCATTAACCAAATGGAAAAAGTTCTGCCAGACTGTTCTGCTTATACCTGGCTCTTCGTCCTTAAAGCATTCATGCAGAGGAAAGAGAAGAAAGAGCAGAGGTTAACAGGACTCTGTTGCCTAGAGGTTCATCCTGAAGCAGGGGCAGGCAGAATAACCCAGCCCTGGTAGTGCAGTTTTATACAACTCCAGGGCCACTAGAGCTTCTTTCACATCTCACCCCATAGCCATGCTGCCATGTATGATGGCCTCCTCTGGGCAGGGCACAAGGGGGCTGAGAGCCATGAGTGTGCTTGTATTCTTACTCATGGGCTTGAGGCCTGGGGTTCAAATTCTCCCCTGAGCCTAGGTTCTTCCCAGGCCAGGCACTCACAGTGTAGTAGTGAAGATCTTTGACTTTGGCACCAAACTGCCTGGGCACCAACCCTGGCACCACCACACCTAGCTGTGTAACCTTATGTTTTCTCATTTATAAATGGGATCAGACTTACAAGTGCCCTGAACCTGCAAATGGCCTTGGTAATCCTTTAAATACTAAGATTCCATGTCCAAAATCTATGATTTTCCCATGTCAGATCTGAGCTGAAGGTAAAAATCACAGTTTGATTCATAAAGGATTGACTCTCTGAGGCTAGGCTTTGGAAATCACCAGATACCTTTGAGCAGAAAGTTTAGATATGTAGCGCAAACTACCTCAGCTAGGTAAGAATCCAGCGATGGAATCCTTGGGGGATGGCAGATTCTTCTAAGTTTTGTAGGGGCGAGAGCTCTCCAGTTTGTCCTTTGAGCTCTCAGCTAGAGTAGGGTTGAACTGGTACTGAGAAACTCAGTCATCCTGAGTCTCTTGATATTTCTTGCCATTAATGTGATTCCAGATAGAGTTTACCAGACTGGCTATGGATTTTAGTAATTCCTATGGTTCTGCTTCATTTAAAGAATTTTTTTTTGGTCTTGGTAGTAAATTAACTTTATTTCACATTGCAAAATATTAACTTTGGGATTTTCTTCTTCCTCTCAAACTTTTGAAGGAATTAAAAAATACATGACTTAATTTTTTCATGATTCTCAGTTCCTATTGAAGGAATAAAAGTATATTCTATCCAGGCTTGAGTGAAGACCTCTTTAATGTCAGAAATTTTGAGAACTTCTATGTGATAATATTTCTGGGTTTAGTACCTTTTAACTAAAGAAAACGTGATGAACAAAAGCCATTTTGAATTCAGTAATGTTAAGTGAGTTTTGCATCCTCATTCTTTTAAAAAATAATACGTATTTGTCCAAAACATGCATACCTCTCTATAGACTGCTTGGGTATCTATGGATTCACAGGCCCCCTGCAACTATGCTGCAGGTGCCCAGGGATCTTTGTCCTGGGCCTGTGGTGGCTTAAACAGGATCATCTTGTTAAGATTCTTTCATGGTGTGGGCTTTGCGGCTGCACAGTGGGAAGGCAGCTGTCGATGTAGTGTGAGTCCATCTTTGATGTGGGAGAGGCTGAGCTGGATGTGCCCTCCATTGCCTGCTACTGATTCTCTTTATTCATTGAAGATCCCCTCAGAGACGTGAGAAAGCTAATGGTTTAAGTACCCCGTCAGAATCTCCACATTTCCACTTGGGGTGAGTCTCATCTTCACCCTTTCACCAACTGTCCTGGTAACAATGTCCCTTCCATTTCCTTGTTCTCACAGCATACCCCGTAGAATCAAGCCTCATTATTGCCAGGGCTGAACTGACTTTTTTGTTTTTGTTTTAAGCAGTACCATTGTGCACCTTGGGAAAATTCCTGTGTTGATCTAATTTTACCATATTCTTCACTCCACTGACCACTCCAATTAGGATACTCCTGCTTGATTTTAGAGAGGCTTAGATATGTGGCTATTTATCCTTTGGTCTTCAGCACTGGTTTTGACTTTACTAGTCTGGATTTTCCTGGATCCAGAGCTGGAAGTAATGTTACGAGAGTCTCAGTTGGAAGCCCCAGGCTGTGGGTTTGGCAGCAGGCTTATCTCTGTCTCTGTATTTTGGTTGAAACCAGTGGTGGTTGGGATGTACTTTAATTTGCTGGTATTTCTGATAGCACTTGAAACAGAATTCTGAAAAGGGAAAAAGTTGATCCTCTGTCTCTCTCAAGATGGCTGGGACTTTGGGGAAAGTGGTCTTTAGTTTAATGATTCTTTCTAGCCTTAAACAAAAAAAAAAAAAAAAAAAAAGAGCAACTCTGGTCATAATCCCAATATTTCCAGGGCAACCATATCCCACAGATTCCTCAGTCCTCCCTTTTGCTCTCCTCTAGGGAAAAGACCAGTGCTTCTAGGCCTCTGGTTCCCCCCCTCCCACAAAGTGGTTGGCGGGGTGCCCAGGCTATATCCTCGGAGAGTTTCTGGCTTTCCATATGAGCTGATTACAGGGATTTGAAAGCGAGCCCCTGTCCTCTGTCTCTCCACCCCCAGACAAACCGAGGGCTCTGCTTCAGCACTGTGCTCTACCCACATAGGTCTGTCCCACAGTGCACTGGGTTGGTGCAGCTTTGTTGGTTGATCTTTCCTTTTGAAAAGGGGATGGCTTTGAAAGTTGCCTAAGCATGCCATAAAGCGTGGAAAGAGCCTGAGAAACGCTGTGTGTGGAGTAGCCTGATCCACCTCTGCTAGCTCGGCTGCCCGGTGCTTGCCTGGCTTCGCAGGTCTTTGCATCACAGTAACTGTAATGCCATGAATGTGTTGTGTCCAGTGTCTGCTTTGAGTGCTTCTCTCTTAAGATGGGCTCAGGCAAGACCCCCGCCAGCAGGGCCATCCTTATTCTTTCTGTCTGCTTGCCAGCCTGCCCACTAGTTCTTTCTACAGTTCCACAGCAGCATGTGAGGGGGGTGGGTCATGTCATTGCCCTTTTCTTCCCTGGAGCATGTGCATTTCTGTTTGTGAAGCAGGTGGGCTTGGTAAGGGTCATTGCCTGTATGTACTCCAAGGCTCTTTGGTAGAATAAAGCAGGCAGGGAGAGACATCTCCATAGCCCCATGGAGCTGAGGGTCGAGTAAGGAAGGTAACCAGTTCTGACAGTTTCCTCTTTTCGTCTGATTCAGCCTCAGGTCCCTGGTAGATGGATATAAGCAGTGGTCGTCCAGTGCCCCCAACCTGGTGAAGGGCCCGAGGAGTAGCCCGGCCCTGCCAGGGTTCACCAGCCTTATGGAGATGGGTAAGCATAGCTCCTGTCTTGGCTCTCTCCCTGCTCCCTTGGGGCATTCTTGCCGAAGCTTCTAGGACTGTTTAAGGACCCCTATCACTGCTTCATGGAGGCCATCTCCCCTTCTACTCAACTCCTGCCCCCCACCCTATCCCTTCTTAGTTTGCTCTACTCCCATTTCATTGAGTCTCTCCAAATTATCATTTCCTCTTGCTGTTGCCATGGAGCCTGCCCTTGGAATTCTATCCCAAGGGACCAGTCATAGTCTTCTTAGGGCAGTGCAGATGGGTGAGGCATTACATCATTCATTTACCTTATCTGGATCTAGTTCCCCAGTGTGGTGAGTCCACAAAGTGGGAGATGGCAGTAAGGACACTGCAGCCTTCCTCCCAGGAAGCTTTTCCCGTGTTACCCTGTAATGACTGAATGGGGAGGAGCTTCTCCACACTGTCTCTCAGATAATGCTGTCTCTGTAGATGTCCAGGGCCGTAATACATCAGTCAACAGAGTAGATTGGCTGTCCTACACTAGGGATTCCAATCCTTAGCGGGAGACTGATCCTAAGACAAGTTGCTAGGCCATTGTCCTAGAAATCCAGAGGCCCTTTTAATTTTAAGGTACAAAAACATTGGGAATGTTTTTGTTCTAGAATGTTCAGTGTTCTAGAAACTCATACTGCACTTTGTGTTAAGGGCCCATTATTAGTCAGGGTTCTCCAGAGGGAGAGAACCAATAGGAACCAAAAGGAAGCTTATTAGGGAGAATTGGCTCACACAATTACAAAGGCAAAGCCCCATGATAGGCCGTCTGCAAGCTGGAGAATGAGAAAAGCCTGTAGTGTGGCTCCCAGGGAAGACAGGAGAGTGGCTCAGTCCCAGTTTGAAAGCCTTAACACTAGGGAAACCAGCAGTGCAGCCCCCAGTCTGAGGCCTGAGAGCCCCCGAAAGGCCTCTGTTATAGGTCTGAGAGTCCGAAGGATGAAGAACCTGGACTCTGATTTCCAAGGGCAAGAGGAGAAAACGTGTCCCTGTCCGGAAGGGAGAAACAGAGAGAGCAAGCTAAGCAAGCTGAGCATCCCCCTTTTTCTGCCTGCTTTGTTCTAGCCTTGCTGGCAGCCAATTGGGTGGTGCCCACCGACATTGAAGGTGGGTCTTCCTCTCCCTGCCCCCGACTCCCATCTCAGTCTCCCCTGGAAACAGCCTCACAGACACCCCCAGCAACTGTGCTTCACCAGCCATGCAAGCATCCCTCGGTCCAGTCAAGTGGATACCCAAGTCACCATCACAGGTCCCTTATGAAAGAAATGGCAAATTAGCGGATCTTTTCTTCTGCTATAAGGAAATGGGCTCTGGAATAGAGAGTAGTTTCCCTGTGTTGGGGGTTGGATAAAGCCCCCTTGGTTCAGTGTTCAATTCCATGTCCTGGTCATCATACCATTTAACCTTTGTGTCCCTGAGACTGAGACAGGAGGCCTGGGTTTAGGGGAAAGGGCCAGATTCTTATTACTGTCACCTCACTTCCATTTCCTTTTTCTCTTCTGCTCTTGTCATCTTCACAGAAGATGAGGACAGTGAAGGCCCAGGGAGTGGAGAGAGTCGCCTACAGCATTCACCCAGCCAGTCCTACCTCTGTATCCCATTCCCTCGTGGAGAGGATGGGGATGGCCCCTCCAGTGATGGAATCCATGAGGAGCCCACCCCAGTCAACTCAGCCACCAGTACCCCTCAGCTGACGCCAACCAACAGCCTCAAGCGGGGCAGTGCTCACCACCGCCGATGCGAGGTGGCTCTACTCGGCTGTGGGGCTGTTCTGGCAGCCACAGGCCTAGGGTTTGACTTGCTGGAAGCTGGCAAGTGCCAGCTGCTTCCCCTGGAGGAGCCTGAGCCACCAGCTCGGGAGGAGAAGAAAAGACGGGAGGGTCTTTTTCAGAGGTCCAGCCGTCCTCGTCGGAGCACCAGCCCCCCATCCCGAAAGCTCTTCAAGAAGGAAGAGCCCATGCTGTTGCTAGGAGACCCCGCTGCCTCCCTGACACTGCTCTCCCTCTCCTCCATCTCCGAGTGCAACTCCACACGCTCCCTGCTGCGCTCTGACAGCGATGAAATTGTCGTGTATGAGATGCCAGTCAGCCCAGTTGAGGCCCCTCCCCTGACCCCTTGTACCCACAACCCCCTGGTCAATGTCCGAGTGGAGCGCTTCAAACGGGATCCTAACCAATCTCTGACTCCCACCCACGTCACCCTCACCGCCCCCTCGCAGCCCAGCAGTCACCGGCGGACTCCTTCTGATGGGGCCCTTAAGCCAGAGACTCTCCTAGCCAGCAGGAGCCCCTCCAGCAATGGGTTGAGCCCCAGTCCTGGAGCAGGTGAGTCTTCTTCCTCTTTTCTCTTTCCTTTGTGCCTCCTCAGGGAGTGAAGATGTTTGCAGGCCTCATTTTCTCTTTGCACTTCTGGACTTGCGTGAACATCATTCCTCTTCTTAGCCAATCAAGAAATACAGATTTGGTATCAGGCAGGCAGCCAGGGCTGGCTGACTTCTCTCCGACCTGTGCCTCAGGGGTCTTTCCTGAGGACTGAAAGAAGACAGGTAGGTTCTAGGAAGAATCAGAAGACCTGGGACTCCTTTGGAATGTCCGGCCCTGAGTCTTAGGGTAGTTTTCAGGGCACAGGAAGGGAAGGAGTCTGGCTTCTAGTTATTCCCTGAGGAGGAGGATGCATTTTCCAGGAAGGAATCTTGCACTGCACGTGGGAGGGGTATTTTCTGCCACATAGCTGGGATTTTGCCTCTCATTATAGCATTAGTTCACACGCACTCAGAAGGCAGGCTTCCACCCATTCATCACACCCTTCGTCACTCACCCCTGACTCATACTTGCCTCCTCAGGCATGGAGATGAGTCCAGGTAAACAGCTATCCCTGTGCATATGACTGCCCTCAACACCTGACACACCTGGGGGCACACACTCTTTCCTGTCCTGTCTCTTTCCTGTCACCGTCTCTTGCTCCCTGGAAGACCTAAGTCTGACTTGGAAACAGCCTCTAATCCAATAGGGAAAGGGGGGATGGTAATGCCCTTTCAATGAGATTTAAATGTCAGCAACAATTGTATTTAAATGTTTGACGTGACCTGCCGTCCCGTTTTTTGTTATACTCAGAAATGTGACCTATTTGGGAACAGAAACCCTACATTACTCACCTTTGGACTTCTGATACCTAGCTCTGTTCCTGTCACATGTTTATTACATGAATGAAGAGTAAATGAACAGACATGCCCTTAAGTCAGGAGGCAGCAAGCTTTTTTGGTGAAGGGCCAGATAGTAAATATTTTAGGCTTTGTAGGCCATGCAGTTTGTGTTGTAACTACTCAGCTACGCTGCCGTAGTGGGAAAGCAGACACTGGATGTGGCTGTGTTTCAATAAAATTTTGTCGTATTCCTTTTTTTCTTTTTTTTGAGACAGAGTCTCACTCTGTCACCCAGGCTGGAGTGGAGTGGTGTAATGACAGCTCACTGAAGCCTCCTGGGTTCAAGTGATCCTCTTGCCTCAGCTTCCCAAGTAGCTGGGACTACAGGCATGGACCACCATGCCTGGCTAATTTCCCAAAAAAATTTTGTAGAGATGGGGTTTCATCATGTTGCCCAGCCTGGTCTTGAACTCCTGGGGTTAAGTGATCCTCCTGCCTTGTCCTCCCAAAGTGCTGGGCTTATAGGCATGAGCCACTGCACTCCACCTAAAACCTTGTTTATAAACACAGGTGGCTAGCTGGTGTGTCATTTGCCAACATCTGCCTTAAGTTATTTCATTACAGATATGACCCCCATATGTCCTACTATTCTTACCAGATACAGGGATCATGGCCTTCTAGTTCACTACTGCATCCCCAGTGCCTCCCAGTAGGTGCTCCACAAACGTTTGGTGATTCATGTTCTCCTGAGTGCATAGGGATATGGTAGTGTTGTGGGAGAGTAGTGGATATCTAACCCCGAAATACGGCACATCATCTGATGCTTCTCCCTTTGTCTTTTTGACCAGGAATGTTGAAAACCCCCAGTCCCAGCCGAGACCCAGGTGAATTCCCCCGTCTCCCTGACCCCAATGTGGTCTTCCCCCCAACCCCAAGGCGCTGGAACACTCAGCAGGACTCTACCTTGGAGAGACCCAAGACCCTGGAGTTTCTGCCTCGGCCGCGTCCTTCTGCCAACCGGCAGCGACTGGACCCTTGGTGGTTTGTGTCCCCCAGCCATGCCCGCAGCACCTCCCCAGCCAACAGCTCTAGCACAGAGACGCCCAGCAACCTGGACTCCTGCTTCGCTAGCAGTAGCAGCACTGTAGAGGAGCGGCCTGGACTTCCAGCCCTGCTCCCCTTCCAGGCGGGGCCACTGCCCCCCACCGAGCGGACGCTCCTGGACCTGGACGCAGAGGGGCAGAGTCAGGACAGCACCGTGCCGCTGTGCAGAGCAGAACTGAACACGCACAGGCCTGCCCCTTATGAGATCCAGCAGGAGTTCTGGTCTTAGCATGAAAAGGATTGGGGCGGGCAAGGGGGACAGCTGGCGGAGATGAGGGGAGCCAGGGGGCACAGCCCTTTCTCAGGGTTGGACCCCCTGAGATCCAGCCCTACTTCTTGCACTGATAATGCACTTTGAAGATGGAAGGGATGGAAACAGGGCCACTTCAGAGGGTCTCCTGCCCTGCAGGGCCTTTCTACCCATGTCCACTGGAAGGGCTGTGGCCATCAGCTCTGGCTGTATAGGGGAGGGAGGGGTGCATGCATGTCCCCCACCCTCCACAGTCTTCCTTGCCTTTAGAGTGACCCTGCAGAGTCACTCAGCCAAATCTGTCTGCTGCTCCCTCTCCTCAGCCAATTGGGTGTGTGTAGAGCTGTCCTGGGGTCCCTTTGTCAGCCCCGAGTTCAGCTTCCCAAACACCAGTATTGGATATTCTGTGGTTGATTTTGCTCCTCCTCCACTGTACCCCAACACCCAGGAATGGGAATCTGGCTTGGTTCGAGATAGGAGCTTTTCTGTGTCCTAAGCCCTTTCATGCTAGCAGGAAGACTGAAAGCAAGGTGGCCCAGTGTGGGGTCATAGGGCTTGATAGACCTGGCACTACCTATCTGCACTTCCAGGTGCCCCACCTATTTATTTGAGCCCACAGGTGGAAAGGGGAACTGCCTCAGTGAGAACAGGGGGACGGGGGTGTTAGGGAAAATATAGTAAAGTTGCAGTGAAGAGATTCATGAAGTATGTCCTTGTTCTTTTTGGATACTCTCAGCAAAGGGCAAACCAGCAACTGTTGAGGGTACCCATCTAGCTACTTGGGGTCAGGACCTCATCAGACCAGGTTCGGATACATCATATGCTCATCCCAGGAATAGTTTCTTGGGGGACTCACTCACTGGTGCCAGTTCTAAGTCAGAAACAAAATTCCACTGTCTGTTCCTTTTGTTGTCTGAACTTTATGTGTTACTCCCTTCGTTTGGTCTTCACTCTAATCCCTGGAGTTTGTGGGCTTTCGGTTATGTTTAGTTAGTAGATATCACCGCAATGCCCTAGAACAGCATATGAAGTAGAATACCATATGGCCACCTAAACACTGGGACTTGGGAATTCACTCTCAACTGGGCCATCCGTGTTGTGATGCCCTTGAAGTAAAATGGAGCCAGCAGGAGTACCTTCTGTAAATGCATGTGGCAAAGTGCTATTTATAGGGTGCCCAGGGAGCCCCTGATGTACAATAACCTTTAGGTTCCCCATACTGGAAACTGACCAAGGCCTGTGCACAGAGAGCCCCTCATGCTGGGCTCTGGACCATGAGCAGAGTAGGAAGGATAGCAGAGGCCAACCCTGACCTTTCTGGAAGTTAGTTCCTTAACTTGAATGTTGAGCTTCGTCTAAAGCTTTCTCATGTATGTCTTCTCCATGCCACTACTCTGAGGCCTCCTGTGTTATGTGTGAACAGTTGTCTTTATGTGGGAATGGCGACTTGATTGGGAGTAGTCTCGAGGTCATTCCCCTCTTCCCTCGAGACTCTCTGAATGCTGCTCCACTGTCTTTTGTCTTGGAGGTCACTCAGCAGGTTCCTTGCATTTGCTGCCTGGATGTGCAGCTGGCAACAGTGATGAGTTGGCCACTGCTCTTTCTCCATAACTAGGATAGATGTCCTGCCTTGGTGATCACTAAAGGGGTGACCTTGGTTTTCAAGTTGTTCCTTGCTTTGTGAGCCCATTAGCACTGTGGTTCAAGGGGCCCACCAAGTCTTGGACAGGAAGGCACTACTGGTTTTGTTGCCCAAGATTTTGTTATTGCTTTTCTTCTGTGTCCTTCTCTTTGTTCATTGAAGCCAGTATGTAAGATACTGTTTTTGTCCCCATTCCCCTACTCCTGGGCTAGGAGGAAAAAATGTGAATCTTACCAGCAGTTCCAGGCAACCAAATGATTGTTCTTCATTCTTGATGGGGAGAAGTACATACAAAGTCTGTTCTGACCGGGCGCGGTGGCTCACGCCTGTAATCCCAGCACTTTGGGAGGCAGAGGCGGGTGGATCACCTGAGGTCAGGAGTTCGAGACCAGTCTGACCAACATGGAGATACCCCGTCTCTACTAAAAATACAAAAAAATTACCCAAGCGTGGTGGTACATGCCTGTAATCCCAGCTACTCCGTAGGCTGAGGCAGGAGAATCACTTGAACCTGGGAGGCAGAGGTTGCAGTGAGCCAAGATTGCGCCATTGCACTCCAGCCTGGGCAACAAAAGCGAAACTCTATCTCAAAAAAAAAGGTCTGTTCTGTGCCTTCCTTCCCCGGGGCCCTCCATAACCTCAGGCTAAGCCATGAACACATCTGTATATCCTTGGCTTCACTAAATGGCACTCTTATGGCCCTCCAAACCATGCTGCCTGTACACAATGCTCTGTGGTATGAGGCAGAGATTTTTCCTTTGCTCATTTTTAACGTTTGCCATTGTGTTAGGTTGCGGCCATCTTTCTAGATGTAGTGTAACTGATGTAGTGTAAACTGAATGATGGTCACCTGCCATTGAGTGACAGGTTGAATGCCATCCTTACTTGTCCACTGTGGGGAAAGATAAAGGAAGGCTAGGTCTTTGCTGAGGAAATAATTGTACCTGAAAGAAGCCAAAAGCAGGGTTATCTAAAGGTGCTACTGTGAGCATCCATGAAGAAGGAACAGTTACCATCTCTCAACTCCTACACACTTGGTCTCTGATGGGCCCTGACTGCTGCACTCTCTCTGTGGGGCAAGGCTGGAGATGGGCTAAGGATCTGTATAGTAGTAGCAGGTCTCAGTGGCTTTCTCTTCACTCGGGTTCCCTTGTTCTGTGGTCCTGGTCAGGAGCAGGCCCTGAAGCTGTGAATGAAGCCACTTGAATGGCCGTAGCCGGCCCCCCTTTCCCCTGCCTTCCCTTTGCACAAAGACACATTCCTTCTACTCCTGGCAGGTGCTCAACTTCATGGAAGATGATAATAGGAGCAGTTACTGTTCTCTGCCCCTGCTCCTTGGGTTCTTCAGCTCCTTCCGCTGATTCGGATTAGCCCCTGTTGACCCCCTTGGGAATCCAGACTGCTGCCAGGGGGCTGAGTAGATACCTCAGTTATCTGTATGTTATTTCTGAGAGGCTTTGGCGGATCTTCACTTGGCATCCCGTGGCATCCCTAGGGTCTGGTGGTAACAATAATAGCCACGATGATACCTTACAATTGGACAACTCAGAACAGTGCTAACTTTTCCTCCTGACCTTTGCAAAATGACATCATTTTCCTTGTACATTTGATACACTTGCTAGTAGAGAAGGGGAAATGCTTAAAGATGAAAATTCAAATGAAGAGAAATGAAAAAGTGGCTTGGACTAATTGCTGAGTGAGGCCACCGGGCTCAGAACTGAACAAAATGCAGAATGGCTGCATTCACCATTCTGCTTTTGCTGTGTGGCCATAGGCTTGTCTCTTTAGCCCCTCTCAGATTTCCTTCCTTTAAAAGCAATCATCACATGCTTTCCTCTCAAGGGGGTTGGGTGTATGTATCAGAAGGTCAGTGAAGCACCGTAGCTCCTTGCCAGCTCCTTCATCTCTACAGGATGAATCGCTGAGAGTGTGGCTCTCGTCACCTTTGCCTTGAGGGAACTTGCCTTTTCTTTCGTCCTCTGGCTTCTGGAAGAGGAGTGATTTGGAGGTGGCTGAGCATGACTAATGGGAGCCCCCGTCAGGCCCATGCCCTTCGGCCGCATTTATGTAGCACCTGGTATTGACAAGCATTCTTTCCTAATTCCCCCACTTAACTTGTCGGACGCTGTCTGCCAATGTCATCCTTACCATTTGTGTCTTACAGAGAAGGAAATGGGAGAGGGGGGTTGGTAGCAACATCAGAGTGACAGTTGGTTGTCTCTCATTTCTTGGGGTCATCAGTCTGATTTGTTTAGAGCCTGGAATCATCCCAGTTTCTGGAAGAATCTTTGGAAAAGGGTCCCCTTACCCTTGGGATATGTGTCATGGTCACTAAGCCCCCTTTCCCTCAGGCTGCTGTTGCTCAGGGACACAATGAGATACCCCTAGGACATCTAGACCTGACTTTTCATGAACTCTTTTGCCTCTGTGGTCCTCACATTATAGTCCTCCCTCTCTCTTCCTTCCATTGTGTGAAGGAGACACCTCCTGAGCAATCCTAACTCATCCAGCTCACTTTCAACAAAGCAAAGAGCAGAGGACACTGAAGACTGGATGGCTGTGAATGGCACACCTTGGGGTTGAAACCATGTTGGCAGGAACCTGGTGATCCAAGCTGCCTACTTCCTGGGTGTGTGAATTTGCACACATCTTTTCCCCTCTCTGGACTTCAGAAGCCTACTGTGAACTGGGGACGATGCTATCTCCTTTCCCTCCTGAAGCCCTTCTAACTTTAAAATGTATGGTCCTGGAACCATGAGTCCTGCACAGAAACTGCAGCCTTGCTAGATCACTTCCCTTGGTACAGAAAAGTGTGCGTGTGTATGAAATATATGTACGGTTTTATGTCAAAAACAGTCGAATGTCAGCTGTTACATATGGTTCACCCTAATGTACCTGCCTCTCTCTTTGGCTTTAGGTCTGAGAATGACTTGTCTTTGTCAAGATATACTATTGTTAGAAAGACATTACCAAATGCATCTCTTCTTTCGGATCAGCATATTCCTAGATTAGGAATTCAAATTAATGAAAATTCACATGTGAAAGGAAAATCCATTGCTATTGTTGGGCTTTTCCCTGGCATTGCTACCTGGGTGGGTGCTCACCATTTCAGGTGCTGGTGTTGGAAGGCAGGAGGAGGAAGCTGAAATCCTGTCGATTAAGGCTAATGAACAGGGCTTAGGTGCCTAATTAGTGTGACTCAGCCCGGGACTTCTGGTTAGCTGTGCAGGCCAGGTGAGTCTCTTACGGACTTCCTCTCAGAATGCTGTTTCTCATTTTGTCCTGATGAGATATTGACAGTCACGTACACCCGCTTCCTCATCCATTTCCTGTCTTGGGCCCTGGAAGTACCATGGCCTCCGTAAGCTACCTAGGGAACCCTGGCTTTGCTCTTCAGCATTTTGGGCTCACTCCATGATCAGGAGCCAGTAGGACTGATCCTCCCTGATTCTTACTGCCTGTGCTTCCCTATCCCCTACAGAGCCTGCTTTGGGCCTTGAGCTGGAAAGGGAGAAGAGCCTTGGGGTCCAGCTGGTTGTGGGAGCTGAGTTTTTCCACACCACTCTTTGTTAACTCTTGGAAACAGACCCGCCTTTGCCCTAACCCATCTTCCTACCTGTCTGGTCTGACCTGCCCTCCTAGTTTTACTAGGCTGATTGGCAGGTGTGGACATTATAGGAGTCTATCGAGATAGGTGTCTAACTAGTTAGGTGTCTCAGGATTGGACAGCAGAATACAATTCCAGGGGTGCACAGACAGGCCTCTCCTACCGGGACATGAGGGATAGACGTCTGGGCATTCTGAACCTAGAGGTCAGAGTAGTCACAAGCGGAGCCTTGGGGAGCGAGGGCCCCGGGGACGTCGTGTTCCTTGCCCTACACTCACTGAAGTCCAACGCCAGGTTTCAGAAGTAGTATGCTGCCCGTTCCTGAGATCCTTCACACCTGGACACCAACCCAGACAAAACCTGACTTAAAATTTTGATACTGTATTCATCGTGGAATTTTTCAGTAACTCTGATTTTTAAAAAATATTGCATTGGAATATGATTTATCTTGATTACTGAGGTTCTTTGTTTTTTGGCGCCCCCTTAAATTTTAACCCAAGGCGAGGGCCTCACTCCACTCTAGACACAGCCCTGCCTGCCCTCTGTGAGGGGGCTTAGGTACCACTGTGAAATAGGTTTTATGTTTTTTTTCTTGCCCTTCCCCTCAAGTCCTGAGTGAGGCAGCAGCTCTCTGGGGGGTGCTCCCGTTTAAATAGGAGCATGTAGACTTACAGCAATGAAACATCTAGGAGCTTTTAACTTTGGATCTACACCTGGGTGTGACATTTCCTTGGTGTTCTCTGGCTGCCTTTCTGGCTGTCTGCAGCCCTGAGGGCACTTGTGTGTGTGTATGTTCCCTGGAGAAAGGAGGTGATTACGGCGGAGAGGCTCCTTTAGATTCTCATCTTAAACCTCTTTGGAACATGTTTGAATTCCAGAAGTGAATGAACTTCATTCATTCTCTCCTCCAGATTTCAGAAGGGACTGAAGTGAATGGAGGCTTTTTCACTCCCTGGCATGCCAAGAGCCACGATCCCTAGCTCTGTGCCTGCCCAGTGAGTCTTCAGAATTTGGCCATCACATCCTCTGCTAGTATCATTTCCACCACCCTCCTCATCTTCTGTTGTCTTTATTTCATTCTTATCGTTTATCTCTACCTCCAGTTCAGATGCCATGCTGGCTGTGGCTCTTCATCACCATCAGACTGAGACGTAGATGTATCCCGGCCTGCTTATGAAGACTGATAATACATGATAATTTTTTTCCATGTGGAGGGGCGGTGCTGTCCTAGTGATTCACATATATGTGTAATTTTTGACTCCTTACAATAATTCTGGGATGTGGGTGTTACCCCCATCTAAGGATGTGGAAACCAAGGCTCTGATGACTCTGTAATTTGCCCAGGGTCACACTGCTAGGAAGCAAGTTGCTAATCTGCTGGGTTGCAAAGTCACCTGTCTTTTTCCTCTGAGCACATTTCTAAGCCACTGCTTAGAAGCTCTTGAGATAAAGTTGGCCTAGCTCAGGTCCACCTAGGTTTTGAGATTGCCCTTTGCCCAAGGAGGAGCTGTGTCCTTGGCTCGCCTGTCGTCTGCCTGTGACGGGACTTGCACCCTCACAGGTCTCAGCTGACATCCTCAATGCTACTGGCTGCCTTCCTCTCCCTGTTTCCTCTCCATGACTCCAGGGGTTTGAAGCACACAGGAGCTGGACATATCAATTCTGTAGCTCTTCTCCCAACACCACTGAAGGCCATGAGCCTCTCTCCTCTGTTTCCAGCCCGCAGGTGCCCTGTTGCTGCTCTATATTCCAGCTTCTCCTCACTTTTGTCAGTCTCTGAAGCTTGGAAGCCTTACTATAGCTTGTGTCTCCTCCCTGGGCGCTTGAGGTCAGGCTTTTGCCTCTTTGTCGCATTGAGCCACATGCCCTTGATACCCAGTTGTAGCAAAGAAGGGAGGTGATGAACTTGCTTACTTTCTTCTCTGATGTCCCTCCCTACGCATCCTGCACATTCGCCCACAACCACTCCCCACCGAAACCCAGATATGTTA